AAAAACACATTTCCTCGATTAAGGCACTTCTAAATCTGAAACCAACTGGACTGAGAATGTGTTAGTATTACTAGCTCAACAAATGTGCAGTTCARCCTGGTGTTTGCTAATTATAGCTGCCGCYAGTGGTGAAGTTGTATGGRGGGAGGGGTGCTCTGTGGGACGGAAGCTCAGCTGGGGACTGCRCTCCARGGAGGAGCTATGGACAAGCAGGCGGTGCTTTGCACCAGCAAGCGTTTAGGCAGCTCTACATCRGAGGCGATTGCTCTAAGACTACAAGGGAAGCTCAGCTTCCCCAAAAATATAAAAAAGATCAAATATATACTGTTGTGTGTACATATCATGACTAAATACGCACTACAACGCACTCAACTTTTGTTCAGAATCATCTTCTTATCACTGGTAACGACACGGCTTTCCTCTCACTCATTTCCGCAGCTTCACAGTGCTTTAAACTGTGCGGACGCTGAGCTTCCACGGACTTCAACAGCGAAGTAAAAAATGCARTGAAACAAGACGAGTCATTGGATAAATGCTGGCTTTGTCCTGCYCATMGGACGCTGAGCATCTCTGGGGGTCTATGGGACAGACGCTCAGCTTCTGCATGATGATTGGATGATCTGTCGGAGGCTGAATCTCTTTTTGATTGACAGYRAAATGAGCGAATCAGAGATCTTTTGGTGTAAACATTCTGTGGGAGCAGTTTTTARTTTTGTTTCGGTTCTGAGCTGAACCGGAAACTTTATTAATCCTTTTAGCAGCATTTTCTTTGTTGAAAAACAGCTAGCGACAAATCAAGCTTCTATTTCTGGTGGTKGTTTTGTAGCTGCTTGTGTTTGGAGACGGACTTCTATCACTCTTTCTGACTTCTTCTGTCCAGCGGGTGCTGCTGAGCCCCTTCACCATCACTCACAGATGGACACACTTCACACTAGCCTCGTGCCAGTAACAAGCTGCATGGTAGACAGTTTGAATGTTGTGGACCGGATTTTGGCAAAGCCATTTGATACAGTCTTGTTTACGAAGAAAAACTTAGAGTTTGCTAACAGCAGGGCTGATCAACTCCTCAGATGAATTTGGTGCAAAAGGTGGGGAAAAGTAAGATTTAAAAAAAACTTTTTATTGATCCCACAGTGGGGAAATAACAGGTCTTTTCAGCTGTCCTGGTATGACAACGTGAGCTGGCTACTGTAACAGACTAGAATAATCTGGAAAATGATTATAAAAGCATTGGATCAATTAATTCCTTTAAAAAATGACCAAAGCAAAATTGTTAAAGAAATATGAAATTGTTTAATTTGTATTTGTATGAGTCATTGTTTGAGGAGTTGAATTATTTGTTTTGTTTTATTATTTGGTTTATTATTGTTTGAAAGTAATATTTTTGTAAATAGGAGCAGATATAAGATATTTTTCTTCTTCTGCTGCCTTTCATTTTATTTTATTTGTATTGTTCGTTTTATGTAATGTTTTTTTTAATTAAATTAATAAATACTAAAAACTAAACAAAATGATCTGTGAGGGTCACAGATCATTTTCTTGAAAAGGAACAGAGGGTAGAATTTATAAACCGACACATTTTATTAAGTAGACCGAAACTGAGCTTCCTCTTCTTGAAAGACCAGCATCCRCCACTGCTCYACRTTGTTACCACAGGAGCTCCAAGGATTTCTCTAACATGCATGAACAAGTCAAGGCAGAACTCTGGATATGTGTTTGATGAGGGAATGACATTATAACATGATATAGAGCTAAAACAAAATGTTGAATTTGCATATTACACACCCCACCACTTATTTTTTGAAGCCATGACCACTGATGTTCCAAGGTGCATCAAAGCTGAGTAGTGGTCAAGCTGAAAATCAGCTTTGAAAAAAATACATTTTAAAAATCAGAAATAGGTGAAATTCTCCATCCTGGTTTGTAAGGCCTCTGCCTCAAGTTCAGCAGTTCAAGTATCTTTGGGGATGGTTTACTAAGATCCCAAGTAATGAGCGCTAAATTGCTGAGCAAACAAAAAACTATTAATGGAAGATTGCCTGCACAAATGATAACAGGTGCAAAAGTGTTGCGGACCTCCCTGTTGAAATGAGGATTTCATTTTTTTGTGACCTTCTGACTGTCACCATGGAGACAAACAGTCTCCATGTTGGAGGAGGCAAATGATCCAGTTGCAGGAAAATGCAGMGCTGCAAGGAGTTTTTCCACAGGACCTCAACCTGTGGCTTCAGAGCCGCATGCAGAGATCTTTCTGGCCTTGACCAACATAAAATGTTTTATTAACTTAAATCTCATTTGCTTTATTAACTTTTTTTGTTCCACGTTTGTCTTGAAGTATAATGTGATACTTGAACATCGGATTATAACGTTTAAATAATTTGTCAACCAAAATGTATGCGTGCATCCTAGTGTAGATCACTCGCTGCACAACCATATCCTGTCCAGCAGGTRGATGGTAATGTGCTTCACTGCTTGTCTGAATCGTGTCAAGTTTATTTGGAAAACAAAGACCTTTGTTGTACGGGGCTGAGAATTTTTTTAAGAGGATGATCGCACACTGAAACAAACTTGTTTCACAAACATTCTTAATTTTTGATTGCTAAGCTGCAGTTAGAGGTCTTATTCATGTTAAAGTGAACTAGTTTTAATTGTATAAACACTGCAGCARAGCAGAGGTGCAGATAACGGTGTCTGAGGCAGATCAGGTAATGACTGCAGCCAGTTTTTACCTGCCTTTCAAATGAGCTAAATATAGCCACAAAAAACAGTTTCAAGTTTAATAAGTCACACTGTGGTGCAAAATTATTATATCTGCAGATCCTCCTTTATAGATCCAGAGCAGCTCAGAACACTGACTGATTCTTACCTTGTGTCCTTCATCCGAGASATGCAAAGGTTTGAATTAAGCTCAGCTTACTTTTGGGGAAAGCAAYGGGCCCACATACAACACCACCATTCATATKGGTTCTTTATCCATCCCCACTTACTATAACCACACCCCGCTCTCAGTATTTTGTGCATTCTGCATATTGATGAACRCAAACATGCTAAATGGATTGAGTCTGCTATTTTRCTMATTTRACAGGCTCGAACCTTGGCACACATRATAAATTATGCTYACTCTGGACCAGGAGGTGCATTGACCAATCAGGACCTTGTCTGCAGTAATGAGGGCAGTGCTCTGGCAAAACTCTCAATTAGCTGATCTATAATCAAACCCTCACTTCTGCTCATAAGATAATGAAAAGAAGATCCAAAAAACAAAGAGCGTAGATGGATTTTCTCCGTAGGGTGGTCAAACATCAGAAGGGCTCTAAGCAAAATAATTTGGATGTAGATTTTTTTCCCCCAAGATTTATTAAGCTAGACTTTAAATCACATTGTTTTCCATCTTAAAGCACTTAAGTTTAGTTTAAGTGAAGTTGTAGCCACTCAGCAAAAAATATTGGACCTCCTGCAAGAACCGATTGTAAGAACAGATTTTTAATTGTGCGTACAAGTGATTTAGGAGAACTTTAGGCATTCACCAATGTTTTCGTACTCTAAGATTTTTTTCAGATATGAACAAAATTGACACGTCGTCCAGACCTGTCTTATATTTTATATTCAGTCAGTCTGCTGCTCTCCAGACGGATTTTCTTCACTAAAAAAATCACACTCCATAGTTATGTTGACATTAGGCTAGTCTGTTGGAACTGGAATTATAATTTTCAATTTAATCATGTAGATTAATGATATAAATTGTTTAAATTAAAATAAATTGGCTATTAATGCTGTTGTATAACACTACAATATTAATATGAAGATCTCAAACTAAAACCCAACTTAAATTATGCATTAATAGAAGTTTGGAGACGTTTAAAATGCTTTTATTCAGAACCACATCTGGCACCACTTGTGACGGCTGTGGGGGAGGGGGCTACCGGTGCGCATCTGCTC